GAGATATCCAAAACCTTAGTTTAGAGATTTTCCATGTTGATTCTTACCACTTTAGTATCTAACAATAAGTAATTTTAATTGATCGTTAGAACTTAATGTAAGATAGAGATATATCAAAATAACTATGGCAACGAAGACATAGTCATAACTATCAATATTTACACAAAGGTGGTAGTTTCATATTTTATTAATGATTTTATCATAAAATAATTTATAAAAATATTATGTAAAAAGTTACATCAGATTCTATGTAAGAAGTATTACACAATGAATTGAAGTAGATAATTGGAATAGCTACAAAAAAATGATAATTCTTTTCAAACATATAATCCTTCTCAACTTAATAGAGAATAATCCAAAATTAATCAATTATTGGTGTAGTTATTACATCTTAGTTAGAAAGTAAATAGAGAAGCAAATTACTCAATTGATATTATTAACTAAAATTTAAAATATGAATATTTTTTTGAAGATATTTCTTTCAAAAAATTATTATCATCTTTATTTTATACAATATTTAAAATTCATAAATTTCAGACATAGAACTTTAAAATAGATTGTAAAGAAATTTGGAATATAAATCTATTTAAAGGCTTTCAAACTATGAAAATATCTACAATCCTCACAAGGGTGGAATTGCAAAATAGCTAGGAAGGACATGAATCTCAAAAAAAAAAAAAAAAATCTCAATACATTCCTATGTCACTCAAAAAGACTAAAAAATTACTCAAAGATGGTAATATATTGAATTAGAATGAATATTGCCAAAGACTAGAAGATTAAAAAGACTTGAAACAAGACTAGGAACTAGAAAGGTATTGACAAGAGTGAAGAAGGTATCACTACTACTTCCATGTATACTACCCAACTACGAGCTATGTAATAATGTCCTATAGGACCTCCAACTCATGTCCAATTTGCAAGACACATGTTTTAACTTTCAACTCAAGTTTCTTATATTTGCACCAAATTGTTAGCTTGTACTACAAGCTATCCATACGTATGATACATGGCTAACGTGTTGGCCAAGTTTCTAACCTATCAATCAACTAAAAACATGTATAAAATAAAATACATATCTATGTAGCTTGTAAGAAGCTTTGCCATAAGTATAAAAATATCCAATAATGTTGAGCAATTACAATGCAAATATGAATAAACTCATGAAAAGTATTATTCAATATAGCAAATATATTGTAATAGAAAAAATAAATATAATAGTAGATACATTCTATAAACATCTATCTCTAGCTACATTAATATAATATATGATATTTGATATATTTAATATATACTAAATTATATACTTAATTTTCTTGAAGTCTAATTTGACTAATAAAAAAATAGTATGAAATCTACAATACTTTATTATAAAGTAATTAATTCCTATTATGAATAATTTTAATATATATATATATATATATATTGTTAAGAGGCAAATGATATAAAATTATCGATGACTCTTCAAACCATGAGTTTGCTTGAGCTTTTATATTTGCACCTTCTAATTCAACTACAATTGTTCAATACTAGTTGTTTCTCATTACTTCTAAATCTCTTGTTGTAGTATAGGAAACTAAAAAGAGTTTGCAAGGAATTGGCTCTTATTTGATTGGTTGCATTGAACTTATGGTAGCAATGCTCCAACTAACAATTAATAAAAGCTGTGATTTGTTGTCAATTATTTTGAAAGTTAATCTTCCACCAATTTTAGTGATATGTCAAACCAATAAAGACATGGGATTGTATCACATTTGCAATAAAAAAAGTATTGGCCTAGAAAAATCAGCAATAGCTAATGGCACGTCATAATCTCAATATAAATAATTTCCACTGATAGATTTGATTAAATTCTCAAATTTCAAATGTAATTGGAATATGCTAAATGGTATAGTATTCAAGACATTTTAGGCATGGTGTCATGTAATATTCAAATTTTTGGCATGGTATAATGCACAATGGGATAGAAAGATTAAAATCTCCTTCTAGCAATTCATGATCTAATGTAATCTTAAAATTTTGAAAATAGCACTATCTTGTGCTAATGATAACATTGAAAAGAAACCAATACTTGAACAAATTCATGAACATTTTGCTCACCAACAAGAAAGCTTTGATAGAAATAAAGAAAAATCAAAAAATAAAGGAAAGATCATCAAATCAATCTTTAAACATCTATACTTTTGAAACTCTACAAAACATACAAAAACATTGAAACAAATTAAAACAATCCATGACCACTCAAGTAGATGTCTTGGCTATTACTAAAGTGAACTCTTATTCATTTTTCTCGCAAACAAGAGACTCACCATAATAGAACCTTTTTACTTCTTCTATTTCTTCTGCTTCTAAAGTTAGGAAATATATACTTGACTATGCATTGCAATTGAAAAGTTCTTGATGGATTGCAGTGCTTTCTGTATTAACAAAGGTAAAGTGTGAAGGCATCACACAACCTCAACTTCAAGCCTTTATACAAGAATCTCCTATAGTTTCTACAAATGTTAAATATTAAATTTAAGGTCAATGTGACGCACTAAGATGAATCGAAGAATCATGACAAAATTGGGAGATAATGCAGTGTCAACTAACAAGAGGCGCCAACGGGGAAGGCCCTGGTGTGCCGGTCCAGCCTTGAAGGCATTCCAACAAAGGAGCCACCAATTGGCCTGCAGAAATGGCATTAAACACCTTCTCAATCTCTTGCCCCGGAGAGACCGTCCTCTGCCCAGACAAGAGCTGCGTCTTCAAGTCTCCGCGCACTAGCTTGTACAATGGATACGTCCTACAATCTTTAATCCTGTTGGGAACCAAGGATAGTCCCTTTGTGTCATATGCTTCTCGCACCGCGGGCACCACACGGCTCAGCTGTAGCTTCAGCTCTGCCTCAAACACTGGAATCTGCCTAAACACTGCGTTGGAGGTTTCCTTGTCTGCACTCTTCAAGGCATGGCTCACCAGCACCCCTCGCAGTTTCTCCATCAGCGGGTATGAATCACTGGTGGAATCGTCGATGTAGCTGAACACCGGCTGACGATCCACTACCATCATAAGTTCCTTCTCGCAAAACCGTGATGGCAGCAGTGATCCGTCGCTGCCCATGAAGAGCGTCTTCTTAGCCACCTGTGTCACTACTTGCTTCACGGCCGACTGCATGGTCTCTTCGACATGACGCAGGTCGATAGCCTGGCACAAGCCTACCAAGAAGGTGGCGCTCATGAGCTTGAGAATCTCCATGGCTTCCTCCGTCTTGCGGGCTGACACCAATCCCAGTGAGTTCACATCTTGGTTGTGTTGCTCCGCGCTTTGGACGTGGGTGGTGACCGGGTTGGCTAGGTAGTTAATCTCAGATAGGTACGAGGCCATGGCGATCTCTGCCCCTTTCATGCCGTAATCCAGGCTGGGGTTGGGTCCCCCGCTCAAATTGGACGGTAATCCGTTGTTGTAGTAGTCGTTCACAAGTTCGGAGAATTGTGCGAACATGAGCTTTGCGATAGCGGCCAGCGCCAGGCGCATGTTGTCCATGGACACGCCGATGGGCGTGCCCTGGAAGTTGCCGCCGTGCAGGGCGATGCCCCTGGCAGCGTCGATGATGGGATTGTCGTTCACAGAGTTGATCTCCCGCTCGATGGCGTGGGTGGCGTTGCGGATGACCTCCACCTGAGGGCCCAGCCACTGTGGGGAAGTTCGCAGCGCATATCTGTCCTGCTTAGGCTTGCGCAGGGGGTCGGTCTCATTGAACTTGGTGGCAACCTTCATGAAGGAACTCCCGTCCAGCACCCACTCCATGACAGCCGCAGCTTCCATCTGTCCGGGGTGGTGCTTCAGCTTGTGAGTCAGGGGGTCGGCAAATTCAGGCTTGCCCTGCATTACCTCGCAAAAGAGCGAGGACAGAACCTCGGCGAGCAACACCATGATATTGGCATCGTAGCACACGGTGGAAGCGAGGGCGGAACCGACTGCGGTGCCGTTGACAAGGGCGAGCCCTTCCTTGGGCGCCAGCTCGAAGGGCTTCTCCACGCCTGCGATGCGCAAGGCCTCAAGCGCGGAAACCTCTCGTCCGTCCTCGGTGACTGCTTTGGAATTGGGGCGACCAGTGAGCAGGCCGGCGATATACGACAAGGGGACGAGGTCGCCGGATGCCGTGATGGTACCTCGCAAGGGCAACTCGGGGGTGACGTGCGCGTTGAGTAGCTTCTCCATAGCTTGGAGGATCTCCCAGCGGATGCCAGAATAGCCCTGCATCAGAGTGTTGGTACGCACTAGCATGGCCGCTCGGGCAGTCTCGGATGGCAGGGAGTTACCCTTGCCGAGGACTCCCGCATTCAGGAAGCGGATGAGTTCGCGCTGGAGCTCCACTCCTTGCTGCGTGCGACGATGAGAGGTCGCTCCGAACCCGGTGGTAACGCCGTAGATGTCACCTCCGCTCATGATCCTGTCGAGCACCCAGTTGGAGCTCTCGTCCACTCTACTCTTGGCATTGGCAGCATCGAGCACGACATGCACGTCAGGTCTGCGAGCAATAGCTGCTACCTGAGGTACAGTGAGGGTGGCTCCCTCGATCATGACCTGGGTGGCATTTTGGTAAGTGTCGACCATCCGCTTGATTTCTTCGAGGTGGCTGCATTCCATGGCCTTGGCGGTCTTGGCCCAGTTGAGAGGATCCGCACCATGAACTGGTCCATTACCGAGGAGGCCAATGCAGTACGGAGATGTGTTATCATCAAGCATCATGTCTGAAGATGCCGCATCAATTTGCTCACCTGATCTGACGACATTAATCTCCCCAGCTCGTGGTGCCATTGTTGGTATTGAAGACCTGCAATTACACTATCTGTCGAAATCTACTTGGTGTGCGGAGGTACGCAAAAATGTGATGTACTGAGAGTTCGAAGTCGTGCCTGAACGCCTACTTCGGGAAACAATCTCAACCAAGCAGCAGAAGCAAACTTTGCTGATCTATCAAGATATGGAAGGTGAATCAATTGCTGAAGGGTGGGATGCAGGCCCTGTCCAGCATTCGCTGCTTGAATAGGCCTCAGGGAGAAGTGAAGATTGATGAGATTCGGGGAATGCTCTTTAATGCCTCTGGCAGGGGCGCGTTGACCGTCGAAAGGTATTCTAACGACTGACCCTAGTCCATAAAGGTGGGTATATTGCGCTGAAAACAGTCCGAGGTGGCGTTGAAATGTTGAAAGTGGTGCGCTTCCTGGACTTATGAGCCTCCTAGTGCCACATGAAGAATGAGAGTCCTCCAGATTGATTTATGATACAGGGTTGTTGAAATTTAGTTCGTCTGTCGTTCACTTCAACACTATATCATACTACAATTCCCCTCATGTTCTTGTCGGTGGGTCTTGGGCAGGTGTCATGGATCAACCACGGTGGACTGCACCAAAAGTGACAGCACCTGATTGAATATACCCTGTTTACAAAGGAATTGTGCACCTTTGAAAGTACTTCTCTGGGGTGGACCCACTTTCTATTGGAGTAACGTTGGACGCGTGTTCTTGTTTTGAAAGAGGAAGGCGCTACGATGCTTCGTGGTCTTCACCCTGATTCTCAGAGTCTCTGTCACACTGGTCTGCTGGACTGGATCGTTTCGCTGATGTCAATACTGACCAAAATATAAGATTTCAAAGGGCCAAGACAAAACCATGAGTTTTGTCGTCCAATTGCGATATTCAAAATTATCGTGTAAAATTCAATTGCGAAATTCAAAAAAATTAGCGCAATTGTGAAATTAAAAATTCGCCTCCAGATGGCATGGGTACACATAAAGTCTCAAAGGGGTTAAAGCAGTAAAAAGGTCAACAGATTTCAACATCAATAACTCCACAGAAAGAGTACACGATTCAATGGAGTAAACGGCTTTCTTTATTTCTGCAGATATAAAGTGGCGGTCAAAATGAAATACACCCAGGTCAAGGACATCTCGATCCTGATGAGAGTGTCAACATAGTGATGCTCTTAAAGGGCACACGCTGTGCATGAAATAGCAGGGTCGATACAAGCTTCAAAACGGAAGTCGCCACCCAACTACACTGTCTATTAATTCTCTGGCAATCTCTCCGATCTTTGTTCTCAAGTTACTTACGAAAATAGACTAGCTTGTGGCGAACTAAGAGAGTGAGGTGTCCCCGCAGATCCCAACTGGTAGCATAACTGAATCAGTGCGTAGAACAACCTCTCTTAATGCAGTATAAGCAAAGGGACCAAGCCGGAATACGTTTGGCAGCACAGATTGAGAACCAGAATGAAGAAATCAACCGAGGTTGTCAAATGGCTTCTGGTGGGGATATTAGGAGGGCCGCTCTTCCCAGGGTCAGCCCCGCCCTGAAGGCGGGGCTGAAGCTGACCGACGACAAGATGCAAGGGAGCAGGGACATAACGTCCGAGTTTGGCAACATGTCTAGCGCCTCTGTGTTGGTTGTGTTGGATCAGATTCGCACAGGTCTGTGAAGATGGATGCGTCCACTTTGGGCGAGGGCAGCGAGTTCGGATTCTTCATTGGCTTCGGACCACGACTGAGACTTGAAGTGCTTGTGCTCCGCGCCGCTCCCAACGCCTAGATTCCCTCCCACCCACCCCTCCTTTTTACTCTCCATTCTCATCAATTTGTATCATATCATGGGTATTGGCAAATGCTTTATACAGAAAGGGCCTTGCTTTAATTAAGCTGGAAGAGGATCACACAACCTAACATTGTAAAACATTCTGTGGAACTGAGTGTAGAAACAAAAACTGAAAATATTCACACTGCATCACAATTTGTCTACAAAAATAGCAACTCCGATAAAATCATCTCGGGTCCACAAACAGTGTAATTCATCGATTTAGTCACTGCCTCTGCATTTTCTGGATAATTGTAGTTTGCTGAGGGACCGTATCCAGTCAACTCTTACGTGCCACCATAAAAATGTCACTACTATCCAAAAAATACATCACATCAAACAAGAAGGATTAATGTTTTGTTTTGTTATGTATAAATTTCAGTTGCTTAGTTTTGTCTACCATATCCCATTCTGTTTAATTCTATTCAGTTTTGTTTTGGTTTAGTTTGTCCTACCTTGTGATGAGGTTTTATGTTCTTGTGGATTACAAGGATCTTGGATACTTGAGATTGATCGATCCTATTTCATTGGTATCAGAGCAAATGCTAGATTGTTCTTTGGTAGTGTGTCGATAGCCACCATCTAGTCTAAGATCAGTTGTTGTAGTCACATTAGGTACTATGTTGAGGCTACCACAAACTACTCTTAAAAAGTCAAATAAAAGATGAGAAGGCATTATAATAGTAGGGTCCAGTGGAGAAATTACAACATGGGAGCTATGGCAGAGCAATCCCAAATGGAGGCTCAAATACATCACTTATTAGACCAAATAGCTACTTTATAAGAGCAAATAGAAGCCTCAAGGACAAAAAAGTTGACATGTGCTAGGCTAAAATTGAGTAAGCCTAGTACATACTCTAGAACTTCAAAACAAAAAGATGTATGTCAATGGCTCTTCAACATGCGACAATACTTCCAACTATTTGGACAAATATCACTAAAAGAATTATATATGCAGCCAACTATTTGAGAGATGCGGTAGTCATTTGGTGGCAACATCGAGTTCAAAACTATAGAGTTCAAGGTGGATTCTGTGATTGGGAGGAGTTTGAGACCAAGTTTAGGAATCAATTTCAGCCCATCAATGCAGAGAAGATAGCATATGATCAGTTGACAAATCTTACACAATCTAAGTTGATGCAAGCTTATATCTCCTGATTCAAATTTTTATATTTTCAAATTAGTAATATTTTGGAGGCAAAGATTCCTATGAGGTTTAAAATCTAAGATCCAACGAGAGGTGGAACTAAAGGATCTACAAATGTTTGAAGAGATAATTTAGATTACAAAGAGGATTGATGGTATAGATTTCAAAAATTGTGGAATATGACCTATAGCACAAAATCTTATAATGTTATCTAATACTATGGTACAAAAATCAATGCCAATGGAGATTGATGTCCTACAAGGATCATTGATACCACAAAGATGAAAAATATTGATGCAAAAGAGATTGTATTTTTATTGTCGGGAGCCAAGCCATTAGATTGGAAGTTGTCCACAATGTCAAAATTCAAGCACCAACAAAACAAGGTAGGTTTATAGTCTCAAAGTTCATCAAGTCAATAATGAGACAGAGTAAGAATACAAGGCTCTCTAATGAAGGCGTCGAGGGCCAATATTGGAAATAGCTACTATTTTTCATAGACAAATGGAAAAGCCTCAAATAACTATAAAAAGAATTAATTGGTACATCTAATAGGACTACTAAGAAGACAACCATGTCAAGTGCTTGTAAATTGTCACTCTATGAAAAATTGTATCTCAACTGGAATTATTGACTGATTTAAAATTAAAACTAAGGCAATCAAGAGAAGAAGCATATACCTTGCAGATGACTGAGAAAATATATTGAGTGAGATATGTGAAAAAAAAAACCTTGAGGTTGACTGACACCTATGTCTTAAGAGAGAGGTTCAAGGTAACAAAGCTAAGGCATGATGTTATCTTTGGTATGCCATGGCTAGAGATAAGAAATAAACAAGTTGATTGAATAGAAAGTATAATCTCTTTTAAAGATAGTGGATGCAAAGTGACTCTTTGCACCTTTGCATTAAGTGAAGAAGAAAGATAATTTGCAATTAAAGACTTATTTGTAGGAACGACCTTTATGAAGAAGCAAATATAGCATAAGCAACCGATATATATGGTGGTTCCAAATCTTGCATCAATGATATGAAAGATAGCCAAAGGAGTAGAATTAGTAGATCAACTCGTACAGAAATATCAAGATGTCTTTCTAATCAACCTATCTAGTGGCATGCCTCTTAATCAATGTGCCCTCTTTCAAATAGAACTATTTCATGGAGCCAAATCAATAAGTCGACCAATTTATTGCATATCACTAAAAGAACTTGAAGAGTTATGAAAGACATTCAATAAACTCTTAGAGAATGGCATGATTTGAAAAAATGCATCACCATAGGGAGCACTTGTATTCTTTATACTCAAAAAGGATGGTGGACTTTGTTTTTGCATCGACTATCAAGGCCTCAATAAGCAGACTATTAAGAATACATATCTACTTTTATGTGTGGATGATCTTCTTGACCAACTTCAAGGTGCAACCATCTTTAGTAAATTGAAACTTTAGAGTGACTATTGGCAGATACCTATTTCAAGAGAGGATGTAAAAAAGACGAAATTTTGCATGTGCTATGGACATTTTGAATGGCTGATTTTACCTTTTGGCCTTACCAATGCTCCAAACTCTTTCATGGATCACATCAACAAATTGTTTCAAGACTTTTTGAACAAGTATGTAATTGTCTTCATTGATGATATCCCTATATATAGTAAAACCTTTGAAGAGTATGAGAAACACCTAAGAAAAGTACTGAGTTGGCTAAAAGATAGTCACTTCTATTACAAGCAATTAAAATGTGAACTTTGGAAGTCGAAAGTCTTCTTTTTGGAACATGTTGTGTCCTTCAAAGGCATGCGTATGGAGCAAGATAAGATAAAAGCAATGGAAGATTGGCTAACCCCCAAAGATACTTCTGAAGTTCAGTCATTTTTAGGTCTTGCTAGATATTATCACCGTTTTGTTCATCGATTTGCATATATTGCTGCCTCATTGACAAACCTATTAGAGAAGAGTGTCCCATTTGAATGGAAATTGGAGCAGCAAAGCACCTTTGATAGATTGAAGGAGTCACTCAATACTACTCTAATATTGCAACTATATGATTCTAACTTTCCTTATATGCTTAACATTGATGCTTTCAACTTTATTATTGGAGCGGTCCTTCAACAAGACTTTAGTAGGGACCTTCAATTTATAGCATATGAATCACACAAGTTTAGAAGGATAGAACGCAATTACTTTGCACATGATTGGAAGCAATGAGCGATTATATATGCCACAAAGGTATAGTGGCACTATTTATTAGAAAAGCTAGTGGTTGTTCGGATTGACCATCGATCCTTGCTACACAATTTACATGAAGAAAATATGAAAATTTGACATCATCTTTGGGAAGAACAGTTGAACTTTTCAATATCCAGCTTAAGTACAAGCAAGGGTGACAACATACTGTCCTAGACAACTTATTGCAAAGACCAAACTTAAAGGACAAATTAGAAGATAAAGCAAAAATCGCTACCATTAGTAATATCATTTCAAATCTAATCAAAGAGATAGAATGAAAGGAAGCCATGCATTGAAATGCTTATTTCAAGATAGTTAGCAATCAATTGAAGGTAGGCAATATACATTATCAAGATTATAGTCTTAGTGATGGCTTGCTCTATTTCAAGAAGCAAAGTTATGTACTTGATAATACTATATTTTGGATGTACATACTTCAAGAAGGATATGACATCCCAATATCTAGACATCTAAGATAAGAAAAGACTCTAGAATGGATGTTAAAGATATGATTTTGAATAGGTTTGGATTATAATATTTGAGCCTTTATATGCTTCTGTGAGTCATGTCAACATAATAAAGCATACAACATAAAGTCTCTTGGACTATTCTAGTCAATTTTGCTACATACGACACATTGGAAGTAAGAGACTATAGATCTCATTATGTGTTTGCCGCAGACATGTCATAATCATATCACAATTATCATCTTTGTGAATGAACTCTTGAAGCAACTTCACTTGACTGTGGTGCACTTGAATATTGATGGTCCAATGCTTGCACAAGTCTTCTTTGATACTATCTTTTGTCACTATGGATTACCTTGTGTCATTGTTTTAGATCGAGATCCATGCTTCACAAAAAGTTTTTGGCAAACCTTATTCAAGCTACTAGACATACAACTTGCCATATCTATTGACTTCTATCTCCAAACAAATAGACAAACAAAGTATGTAAATCAGACCTTGACAGATATACTACACGCATTTATGGTGGTTTATCTTAATAATTGGAATAAATACTTGATATCCTTGGAGTTTGCTTATAATGATAGTATTCAAGTAAGTATCAGTCATTTACCATTTTTCTTTAATAACAATCAGTATCTGATTATGCCAATAATTCTCTATTGTCCTATCAACACCAACAACTTAACAATAGAGGAATTTATAAAATGGCTTACAATGGCATTACAAAGAGCATGGCATTGCCTCCTTACTACACTGAATCGACAAAAGCAATATGTGGATAACCATTGGCAATACAAGACCTTCTGAGAGGGTGATCAAGTATTACTTTCTAATACCAACTTACCACTTGCTACAACAACTTAAATCTGTAAATTAATACTTTCGTGGCTTGGACCTTTCTACATTTCTACATTGATTTTTGATGTTGCATATTGCCTTGAGCTTCTACCACATATTCGGATTCATTTAGTCTTTCATATTTTACAACTGAAGGAATTTTATACTAAGCTTAAGCGCTTTTTGGAAATGACACCAACTACTACTACCACCACTAGTTATAGTTGATGACCAATAAGAATATGAAGCAGACAATATTTTGGAACATTGCTACCTTTGTCATAGCAATCAATGTCTACAACTTCAATACAAAGTTCTTTGGAAAGGTTATCTCATCTACGATGTAGTATAAAAACCTATACAAAACCTCATCTATTGCCAAGAAACAATTTGGAGATACCATCAGGAGCAAAACAAGGATGTTTTACATTAGTGGAGGGAGATTAACTATAATAAGATATAGATAAGATATTTGTATTAATGATACATAAGGATAGATAGTTAGAACCATATTTGAGAAGTTATGGAAGTTTCTAAAATTGAGGTTAGCTTAGTGGACTAGATAGGAACCATCATGGAACATTTTAGAAAGAGTTTAAGGCGGTTATCTAGGTGGGATCTATCATGAAACCTTCTAGAAAAGGCTTAGGGCAGTTATCTAAGTAAGGCCCACCATAGAACCTTCTAGAAGGAGTTTAAGGTAGTTATCTAAGTGGGGTCTATCATCTAAGAACATTTAGAAAGTCCACGGTAGTAGAACAAAGTATAAATAGGACTAGTCGGGGCCTTTTGAGGCATCTGGTCAACTATAGCTTTGGACTCTTTTTCTTAATACAATTGGATTTTGTATCTTTTTTTTTTGTGCTATTATGTTCTGTTCGAATCCTGGTTGCTTAGTTTTATCTTTTGTGTTCCATTCTATTTAGTTTTGTTTAGCTTTATTCTAGTCTTATTTGTCATACCTTGTGATGAGGTTTTATGTTGCTGTGGATTAGAAGGATCCTGGATACTTGAGATAGACCGGTCCTATTTCAATTGGAGGCTATTATTAAGTTTAGAGATCTAGGTTGTTTTTTTTGTATAATTGAGAATTAATATTGAAATACATAGTATCTATTTCTTTGAAAAACCTCTAGAATATTTCTAAAGAGTTTTTAATTCTATAATATAAGACATAAATGTTGTATTTTTGGAAGTTTGAAGTAATCTTTAGCATTTTTATCTTCTACTTACGTGCACCAAATCCTAGCACAAATTCTTTGTTCTTCTAGTTGCTATTCTTTTAATTAATTTACTTAAGTTTAATTTGTCCTATAATAGCTTTATGCATTGAAGTCTTGAGAGTTAGCATGTAGCTAAGAATAACAAGATATAATTAACCTTTAAATTCAATTTTTGTCCCAATTTCAAGAAGGCTTGATCTTTTCAAAAAAAAAATATATATATATATATATAATTTTCCAAAAATTTTCCTTTTATAAATAAGCAAACATTGTTTTATTTTGTTTTGGTTTTGTTTTTTTTTAAACTAAATTTCTTTGATGCATTGAAGCATTTGGGGGTTTTCTATTTTTTTTTAAAAAAAAAAAAAAAAAAAAAAAAAAAAAAAAAAGTCATCTTACTGGTTGAATGTCTTGGTTTAGATTTTTGAAGTTGAAAAGTACACTTAATGTGAATTGCTTCATTTCTAATTTTTGTCATAAGCATAGATTTTTACAATACTAATAAAAACATGTTGGGAATGATTCAAAGAGCTCTATTCTGCACAGGCAAATCAACATCATTAAGCAAATGTTTAATTTCCAGAGAAAAAAGCACATATATTCTTCCCTGCCACACCACTGGGATAATTTACTTAACAAGGAACAAGTTCAAGAGTAAAGAATCTATTATCAAGC